CCTTCCGAACCACATGGTATTGCTCTCTTTCTTTTGTTCATATTTTGAAATCGTTTCATCAGTTTGAGTTTGAATTTTAATTTTGTAGATATGTTAGTATTTTTAATCTATACCGTGTCACGGAATGAACTGTCTCTCACACTCTACGCTGTGGTGGGTCTTTCCTTAGATTTTATTTGTGTCCTCGATAGGTTGTATACAATTGGAAGTCTTTATCTCCTGTCCTATATGTATTTCCTAAAGGTCAATAGATATAGACCAAAACCAATTTATCAGAAAACATCCTTAGGTCTAAGACTACAGGATCTGCGTTCTTACGTTTCGGTTCTCCCCATGTCTTAGCCTGATATCGACGTCAGAATTTTTAAAACCTTGGTCATTTAGGTAATTCTAGGAATCGTTTTACCGTTAACGACAAAATACACGATTCACTTGAGTCATACGTTTACACAGTGAAAATTCTAGATATCTATATACATTGTAAAATGTTAATTATCTGAGAGAACGTAATTTGGCATGGTGTCCGTTCTTCTATCTTCTTTCCACGTTTATTATCGACTTCTTTGACACTAGTTAGATTTTATCATGCTACTTCCGTGCTTTGTCGAAGTGCCCTGCAGGTAGAATTGCACCTGCTGCCTTCATTACATGATTGTAAATGGCGACTAAACTTCAGATCTTTTGTAAAGATCTTTCTTCATCCTAACATTTTCTTTTTTAAATACCAGGTTCTAAGTTACTGCTCTCTACGTGCAGCTAACATGGTAACGATGGTACTTTTAATATGTCCGTTCAGCATTTTCACAAAAGGGTTACAAGTGACCCTGGGTACTGATAGGACGTAAAGCAATAACAAACCAATGGTCTGAAATCGACAGGCTGGCTCCATAAACGTTAACCAAAAATATAACCTTTTTTATGAAGTTCTCTCGACATCTGTAAGAGAGCTGATTTCCGTTTTCGCCTTGATGCGTTAACTATATAAATCTGTTGGTGAAATTACGCTTTATCGAAGTCTTTAAAATAACAAGGTCCCAGTGTCATCTCCCGGGACATAAATACTGGTCTTCTCAGATACACAGTAACATCTGCACAATCACATGTGAAACATGATAAATTGTAAGTCTGATGCTTTACGGAAGGTGTAAACATTAAGATAGCGAATGTCTCTAGAGAAAGTACCTCCCAACATGCCATGTTATATTTGATGTATGGCATATGAGTACTGAATGAACAAAATGCACATTTGATTGCACATATTGAACTCTTAGTGTGTACGTGATACATTATACTATGTGGACATAGTACATTGTACGTGTGTACGTGATACATTGTACATGTGGACATAGTACATGGTACGTGTGTACGTGATACATTGTACATGTGGGCATAGAACAGTGTACGTTTGTAAATGTTATAGTGTATGTTTGTAAATGTTACAGTGTACGTTTGTTAATGTTACAGTGTACGTTTGTACATGTTACAGTGTACGTTTGTACATGTTACAGTGTATGTTTGTAAATGTTACAGTGTACGTTTGTACATGTTACAGTGTACGTTTGTACATGTTACAGTGTACGTTTGTACATGTTACAGTGTACGTTTACAGTGTACGTTTGTACATGTTACAGTGTATGTTTGTAAATGTTACAGTGTACGTTTGTACATGTTACAGTGTACGTTTGTTAATGTTACAGTGTATGTTTGTAAATGTTACAGTGTACGTTTGTACATGTTACAGTGTATGTTTGTAAATGTTACAGTGTACGTTTGTACATGTTACAGTGTACGTTTGTACATGTTACAGTGTACGTTTGTACATGTTACAGTGTACGTTTACAGTGTACGTTTGTACATGTTACAGTGTACGTTTGTACATGCTACAGTGTACGCTTGTGCATGTTACAGTGTACGTATCAATGTGGTGTATTACCGTTACGTACTTTGTGTATCACGTGTGCGACCGTGCCAAATGAACGTAATGCATTCTGTGTAATGCATCGCACGTGCGTACAGAATGCATCATTTGATTGTGAGTACATACCGTACGTATATACGTTAGGCTTATACATTGCACACAAAATTTTGTGTAAATATAAGGATGTGTACTAAATCTGTGTACATATCGTAAGCATGTTAATTCCGTGTTAAACATTGCTATGAAATATAGACTGGATATTAATAAGTTACACGTGTGAAGGCGGCGGAAAAGAGGAATTTTTAAGTCTCGCCAACATCAAACTACAGTTTACATTTAAATGTATAGATTAAGTATGCTGATGCCAAGCAGTTGTTCCATGGGAAATCACGTGATCTTATATTTAGTTTTAATGATCAAATGATTTAAATATTACGTCACAAGTGCCCTGTTTTAACAAGGTAATGCAGTTTAATTGATCGGAGCTAAAAGTACACAGGATGGAAGAGGTAAAAACTAGAAGTCGTTGCTGATAAATTTTCTGCTATACAAGAGGTTACCAAATAAGTGGTTAACTGGTTACATTCAGGTCTAGATTTCGTATATATTAGTGACAGATAAAAATTACTGACACTAACGACTGTATGTCAATAGTTTTTTTCTTCATCAGCGACATCTTTATTGGAACATGTGTGAGCGACATTTCTCAATATAGGCATTACTTGCTATGGTTGTGCGTTTTTTTTAATGAAAGTCATTTGTCTGCCAGTCTCAACGTTAAGTGATAACTGGAGTATTCGTCCCGTAGTGTGTTTCATAGTTTTGAGACAAATTATTCTAATTTACATAAGTACTGCTAGTCAACCCGAAGTGCACAAGGGGCCTTAATTTGGAAGGATGTGTGATCAAGTCATTCATATGAAGTTATGTCATCGCAAGTGTAGCAATGCAGGAGGGTCATTGAAAACGATTAGCGGGCCCCACATTAAGTACTCAATCTACAATCATACAGAGAAACTAAACACGTCGACATCAGAAAATGCAAGGTGTCAGAATGAGTTGTCAAAACAAATCACTATTTTGATACATGTACTAATACAGAAAGTCATTAGTCCAAACTTTTGACTCAAACATTATAGTTCTGGTTCCGCTATTTTTTTTTATCTACTACAAGCTTCAGATTGTGCAGTACCAATAATTTAAATTCCATACTGCTTTCATAGCAGACTGCTGATTACCATGGCTTTCAAAATGTTATATCAGCATCGCAGTTGTGGAATTTTACATGAAAACAGGTATTACCATGATATATTTGTATCGCACAAAATGAGCTTTAACTTACTCGTTTAATCACAATTCCAATAAAATTATAAATACAAAGAGATAACGTGTATTCAAAGATAAAAATTGACAGTTTTATCATTCCGAATCAGTTCTCGATGACGTCATAGTCGCCAATCAGGTAATGCTTGACTTCCGGTGGGACGCTTTGGTTCATGGCCTAGGTGACCTTTACAGGTAGCTGTAGGTTCATACGTTTTTGTAGAAAGTTAACCGATTTTCATTACGTCCGAAAACATTCCTCACTTCCAAGGATGTGTGTTTTCAAGGACAAAATGTCTCGTAAATCAGCTGATCTGATATGCTGGGTGTACCGCCGGCATGTTTACACGGTCATGTGGTTGATAACATCTCTTTACAAGACACATCATCGATATTTATTTTATTTAGAAATGAAACATTTTAGGTATCATAATGACATATTTATATACCGCTCTTCCTCAAAGATGTTATCGCCTTTAGCCTCGCAGTATCGTTGGAACACCCCACTTTGGAAAAGTTCGGTGCTAATGTGAAGCTGCCATATGTTAAACAACACAGTCACTGTTCGTTATGTTGTGGATGTCATACCTAATCACAGCGACTTCTCTCTGCTGAGCATTGGTGTTTACAGACTGCACTAAGAGTTTCGAAAGTGTCACGTGCATGTTCAAACATGTGCAGGAAAAATGGACGCTGGTTTTTTTTTTTACCAAAATACATCATTTCGGAAAAGAAACGAAAAGATGACTTAAAGTTTAGTTTAAAGATTGCAATATTTGGATCAATAATTCAACAACATTACATATACATATATTATATCAGAAGTGAGAAACAAGTTTAAAAACTTACAAGTCATTTCCCTAACACAAGGTTAGTGGTTCACTACCTAATGAGCACAGGTTATGTCTCTAATGAAGCTTAGACCGTTCAGTGCTCTCATCGTCGTGTCCTTGAGAAAACCACTTTACCCCAATTTCTTTGGATGGCATGCTGTGGGCCTCCCTCATATTCAGTGAAGTAGCCTCCAATTACAACCAGTAGCCCTGCCATCTGTTCGTGTGTCTATAACCACTAAAGATAAACCAACCATAAGCTATTTGAGCATCCAGTCAGGGATAGATTTGGGATGCTATGTACTTATTGCGAAGCATTGTCTGGGCCGAAATAGCACAATCACTTTCAGCTCATAAACCAAATTGTACTAAAGGAACATGCATTGACTGTAATAGAGGACTAGCACCATTTAACGATATCGGGACAGTGCGTAAAATCAAGAACAATTGAGACGGATGGGTCATGTGTTAACATTGCAACCAATCAGACTTGCCGATCTATGGATATTATAAAACGCAGTCAATGAATTAAAATGTCCTCGACGATACGTCATTTGATGCATATCATATAGAACTTCTTTCGCTAAGTTTACGAGGAAATGACTATGAACGGAGAATTTTTGTAAATGTTATTTAAGATAAATGTAGATTTTTCTGATTCCCATTTGAATTCGCCAAATTATGGTTTAACAAATGTCTACCTTCGGTTTTTGGATATCATCATTCTCATTTGGTATGCCCACAAGGAAATGTATAATTTGCACCACAGCGTCAACACATGTGATGAAAATATTTTGTTTAGATGCAATACAAAGGAGTGCAAATAAGATAGAATAATAAATGGGAGCAGAATATCATGTTGTACAATGACTACTGCAAACTAAATCAACACATGGGTGTGGGATAAAACAGAGCATCACTCAGGAATGAAAAAGTACCATGAGGCAATACATATGAACAAATTGTTCTTAACTGCAACACACAAGGACAAAGTAGATAAGGTTAGAGTAAAATACAGGTGTAAAAAACGTTAGGGTAATACACAGGGGCGAAATAACCCAAATAGAGACACGCGGGGCAAACTTTACCATCGGACATCACACTAGGGAAAAACAATAAGCACCAGGGCAATACACAAGGACGAAATAATGTTAGGACAATAAACAGGGACGAAATAATGTTAGGGCAATACACAGGGACGAAATAACGTTAGGGCAATATACATGGGCGAGATGACCCAAATGGATACACGCAGGGGCAAACTTAACAATCAGACATTACACTAAAGTAAAACAATAAACACCTTGGCAATACCATGGGGAGGGGGCGAAATAAAACAAATGGAAACATACAGGGGCAAACTTTACCATCAGACATCAACGGCAATACACAGGGGCGAAATAAACGTTAGGGCAATACACTAGGGCGAAATAAACGTTAGGGCAATACACTAGGGCGAAATAAACGTTAGGACAATACACTAGGGCGAAAGAAATCAAATGGAGACATACAGGGGCAAACTTTACCATCAGGCATCAACGGCAATACACAGGGGCGAAATAAACGTTAAGGCAATACCTTAGGGCGAAAGAAATCAAATGGAGACATACAGGGGTAAACTTTACGATCAGGCATCAACGGCAATACACAGGGGCGAAATAAACGTTAGAGCAATGTTCACAGTGACGAAACAAGTCAAACGGCATCACAAAGAGGGAAGCTTTACCATCAGGCAACACATAAGGACCAGAACATAAACGTTAGAGGGGGCAATGTAAACCTTAGTACAATACAAAGTGACGTATACCATACCACAGAGCAACACACATGAAAAGTACTGGGTAACAAATATGGCCAATATTTCACATCACGGGACAACGTACATTGGTAAAATCGGCACAAAACATCGACAGGAAATTTTAAAACATTGAAAGTTAAGGACAGACAACAAAACCCATTCCGAAACAATACAAAAGCAGAGAAAGTTTGTCTGTTGGGGGCAACTGTGTTGGCCTTAACGACATTGGACATTCCTTTGTGTGGTGGAGTACAGCGTACTGACCGCGACAAATCACGTCTATCTAACATACGGTACGGATTGGTGAGTGACACATTAGGACAAGGATGCGGAGACGTATCAATCCGTCAATATTGAGTGATTGCCGCTACGTCGGGGCACCCTCAGGGCTTACCACAATGGGTCATTCTGATCACCAAGGTGGATGAATGGATCGCTAAATTACTGTAGTCAACGGTACGCATGTTTGAAGTCGTTCCGGAGACCATCCTTCCCTTGGAGACGTCGGTGTTTCTTTTACAAAGCTATTCTGTGTTGCCTAGTCGCTAGGTCATTGTAATATCGGCGCCTGTTAGCTAGCATTATTTATTTATACACCCGTTCCCGACTCTGAAGGGACGAGAATTAAACTTCTCTCGTTCAGTAGTATTCTCAGAAGCTTTTTTTCTGTTTGACTGGAATTTTTCTTTATGGTTTTTCTATATCTCTCTCCAATATTATCGAGTGGTACAGACTACAGGAAGTTGAGAACACGGACTATATATCGGATCATACTGTCGTTCGTATGAGGTAAGTGATTGTTCTGATAATAAATTTGCATTCTGAAATTACAGACTCATTCCTAATATTCTTGAAATTAAGCATAACCCTGTTCATACATGTTTCAGTAAGATTGAACGCGTTTGGAATAAAGGAATTACGTTATACCAACGATGAAAGAATGATAATATTTACCTTAAATTGCTACTGCCAAAAAACAACGTTAGCGAGTCAAACTCATATAAGAGGAATTAGAAGATTTCAACGCTTGCACAAACAAAAATCAGTTCTACCCTATAATATTCGATGAGGCTGTCTGATTGAGTCTGTTCGAAGCCATCGATTTTTTGCCACGTTAACCTAATGTTCATTTTAGGAGATTTAGTTTTTTCTGGGCCGGTAATTATTGATTTTTGTCCAAGTTGTACCAAATCGGTGCCGACATATATTTGTCTCTCATGGCTGCGAGGAAGGCAAGCATAGGGGAGACGTACCAGGCAAGGAACGGGATATACGGGCCTGTAGACGTCTAAATAACCTAACCGTTATCTTTGGAAACATTTATATATGTGTGTGTATCTTTAACTGTTTTATGGATGAAAAGATTTTAAATATTCTTCAATGTGTAATAACGGTCCTCAAACTTAAGCACACTTCCGTGATATCGTCTAATCTCGTGTAAACCGATTTTTTTACTTTTATTTTTAAAAGTTAAAATCTTAGCTATACATAAAGACCTTGTTAGATTGGTTTAGAATATCTGTTAGAAATATACTAGTACTTTTGTTTTGATGTCTGTGGTTTGGTATGTACAAAATGTGCATTATACAAAATTAACATGATTTATCAATGGCTTTATCAGCAACAAAACGTCTCCACATTTAATATTTCAGCGAAACCTTCATTTATATCAGATGGATCTTACCAAAATATCACTGTATATGATTTAAATGAGTGCCGCAAATGTACTTCTGGTCCTTGTCAGAAAGCGTCTCAATCAGGTTTTATATGTGATTTGTATATGCTGAGGATATCTTGCGATAAATATAGAACATGTAAACAAAACAGCATTTGTTGTATCTATATCAAATAACAAAATCGTGCCATTGATTGCAGACGAATTGACTACATTTGTCGTAACTGTCTATTATTGTGAGTGAATATATAAATCATGTTGTACTTTCTGGACTATGGACTCAGCTTGGCCCAAGGGACAAGCAACAAATTGTATGATCCCGTGTTTTGTGTGGTTTTGATGCATCACAAACGGACCATCAGATTGGGAATTCATGTCCATTGTCCGATCCCGTGATCTGTATGGTTTTGCTACATCACAAACGGACCATCAGGTTGGGAATTCATGTCCATTGTCCGATCCCGTGATCTGTATGGTTTTGATACATCACAAACGGACCGTCAGGTTGGGAATTCATGTCCATTGTCCGATCCCGTGATCTGTATGGTTTTGATACATCACACACGGACCATCAGGTTGGGAATTCATGTCCATTGTCCGATCCCGTGATCTGTGTGGTTTTGCTACATCACACACGGACCATCAGGTTGGGAATTCATGTCCATTGTCCGATCCCGTGATCTGTGTGGTTTTGCTACATCACACACGGACCATCAGGTTGGGAATTCATGTCCATTGTCCGATCCCGTGATCTGTATGGTTTTGATACATCACACACGGACCATCAGGTTGGGAATTTATGTCCCTGATCTTTTTTAACATTGTTTCTTAGCAAAAAGAAAAAGAGCAAATTCTTTATTGTTGTTGATATAAATCAGTCCATGTTACAATACTTCTGTATATACACACTACTAACTGAAGGTAAGTACAATACCTTTATATGTGTGATATCTGTCAAGGTCTGTTTTCACTTTGATGTCAACAAATCTTAGTTAATATCTATGTCATACACAAACTTTTATGGAACTTTTTATTGAGTCATCAAAGTTCTGCACAATAGATAGCATAAATTACGTTGTCAGCTTTCCCACCGCCTTCTATCCCCAAGGTACGGTTTTTCTAGGGTACAAAACACATCACACAGAATATATATAGGTGAAACAAAATGTAGCTTACGGCACAACAACTTTTTTTCGATTATTTTGTTCTGGTCATTAAACGCAGAATAATTTTAATCCAAATAAAAATTAACTTTACCGCGTGCATTCCATTACTGAACTAACCAACCCCCCAATCCCCCCACACCCTCCCCTCTCCCCACCCCCCATCAACCCCCTCCCCCGACTTCATCTCGATTACGAACGAATATGCATTCTTGCAAAACATCATTATTTATTGAAGTGGTTTTCACGTAAAGTTCAGTCACGTATCAGGTAGTGATGGAATGCTTTCAATATCACGATTATCAACACACAACATGTACCACGAATGACCACAGCGGTCTGTCAGCCCCTAACAATTTTAACTTGATAACTTGTTTAGTTTAAACGATATTTTATTTCAATAATCAACAATTTGACATATAGAGATAATTTGATGGAAGCTTTTAGAGCTTATATTAATAACTTGTTTCTCGCGATTGTTGCATTAAACCCGTTTTGTTCTCACATTATCTCGTTGTAGGACTGTTTATCTCATTCATGTTTTTTTTAAGTTTTAGACATGACTTTTTTTTTTATCATGTGCGATATTTTATCTCACTCTTACGAATTACATTTTCCGTTCGAACAAGTGGACCGAGGAAACTTTCTTTCTTATGCTGTCAAGAATGTTAACATTAGATATCAGTCGTTAAGTATAATTCAATAACAACAACGATACAATGAGTACAGATGTTGATGTGTATACATGTACCTACCGTGTGCATGCACAGTTGAGTGCACGTGACCTTTCGACTCCTCTTCCTGTTTATCTTTACCTAAGTGGGGGTCATACATACATAAGTAAGCATTCATCACGACACACCTACTGCAGAATCCGGAACATAAGGTTAATCGGAGAGTTAAAAGGACAGAACAGGATATGAAGACGAGGCTCATGTTTTCAGGTAGGGAAGAGTTCAAGGACAACAGCATGTTTGTACAATTTGTTTTTAAGGTAGGGTGTTTTAATCTATCTCATCATTTTTTAAAGCTACAATGTGTTAGAAATTTATCTTCATTACTTAAATATAAATATTATGTATTTTTATTTGTATCACGGAGAAGTGATATGTAGGAATAAAAGTACTTCTTGTGGTATTTGAGTATAATTTACTCCCCCCCCAACCTACCCTCCAACTTCAACAACTAGCCCCTTGTTTCTGCTATACAACCCATACTCTCGCGAGGTATGCTGTATACTATATAAAACATTGACTTGTCTATGGACATTCGAGATGTAGCTATTGTATCGTGTACATTTTCATATTACTGACATTCTACAAACACATAATTGCTCTCTTGGCCTTCGAGGAATTCCGACCGGCGTGCTCGTCCCTCCCAATACTTTATTACATTAATATTGCCCATAATTTAACCAACGTCCCTGGAATGACCCTCTTTCTCCGGCAATTGTCTCCCCATTTCCATGGAGTAATTGATGGTTTCCGAGCTTCTGTTTGTGTCTGTTTAGTTATAACAGTACGCTACAGTACGACAATCAACTTAACTTCCTAGTGATACCCCCGAATTTCCGTGGTAAGTCACATGCGTGTCAATTATCCGTCGTTAGACATTCGGCGATCCATGTTTACATGTGTACGTTGCTACACTGGTCTGATACATAACAACAATATCTCAATGTGTAGACGTCGTCAAGGTTCTTCCTCTTAATTAGATAGAGTGGATTATAATGGCGTCGTTAAAATTAATTGATTAAATCAAATATACTTGTCTTGTTCCTTTGATTCTTAATAAGAGAATTTAGATGAAAAAGTTCAGTTGTATGTACGTCATAAAAGAATACACCGGATTCAACAAAAATGAAGATGGGTTCATGGTAATTACGTGTATTTCAATTTTACTCTGTGTGGCTCGGCTGACACACCACCTGTTGTGCGTTGACAGTATGGAAACTACCAAAAGATTGTACTGAATCATTGTACATGTATAGACGTTTGTCTAGATGAATCAGATTACGGACAATGTGATGTGGATATTTTCTATGTGTTGCGTAAGCAGTCATAAATATACGACTGATTTATCATCAATTTCATTTCATCATCAATATTCATCGATACGCGTGACTGTGACGTCATTCTCCTTATAACTCGTGCATAACATCCTTTCTTTTTATCTGAAGCACGCCTATCGTCAATGGTTCCGTGTCGATAACAAATCTATGTTCTTTGTAAACACTGGAGGGTCATCTTACCGGACATGAGTTCACGCCTTAGTTAAACTGTGTATCAGTTCCTGTGCTTGGAAATATATATATATATATATATAAGTTCAAATTCGGCACAGTCTAAATAATTTATCATATATTGTGTATTAATGAAGAAAGATTGATCACCTGAAGCGGCAGAACTTTTACATGATACAACCATCAGGTAGCAGTATTTCGTTATTCTTTCATGTTTTTATCCATCAGCTTGATTTTACTTGTATGACTTTTGTCTCTTTCCTTCCGCACCAGATAGCCACCATAAAGATTACCATATCTCCCTATTCATCAGACAACAAGGTTATATCTGTTTGGGTTTTTTTTAAACTCTGTTCCTGATTACCATTAACTGCCGCCCTTTTCTCCTTCTGTACCCGATAACCACGTTTTAAATGGTTTCGTCCATCTCTTCTGCGCGACCAGATGTACTATAGATATTCTCTAACGGAATTCATTTCTCTAACAGATATTACAAAATTTTCATTTTTTCACGCTGTTCCGATTTTTTTATGTTGTTGTTCGTTTAAGAATAATTTGCGATTATTAGAAAATGAATGATTGTGTTGCTGATGGAAACAAAGATAATGCTGGTTTTAAAACGTACCGTTCTGCACAGGCTCATAAAGATTTCTTGTGATAATGACAGTATTTTCGGGTTAACAAACAGTCAATTTGATGGCCAATAGACTCGTTACAGTGAAGGTGTCATATTACAAAATTAAAGAAATCCTGATTGTATCTAAGCCGACGACGATTAACAGACAAGGCTATGTAGGCAATAATTGTATACATTAGCTGGAAGAACTCTATTAGACATCATAACGGGAGCGGATTCTGTGATAATTACCAGCCATGTTAATTGCCTGAAGCTCATTCCCTTTACCTTATCGTCGAAAAAATCGTGCAGACGAAACGAAACGAGAAAAGTCACTCATCACTCCTGATGAGGTGTAACGTCAATATGTCACGTGACTCGTCAATTATTTGTCTTGTCAAATCATTAATGGCCGCGAAGTGTCTCATTGATCGAAATCCCAATCTTTATCACTCTGACGCTTGAAGCGACGTATCCGATGGTACAAAGATATTCACATAACGCGTTTTTACCGTTAAATCTCCGTATCTGTCAAGCGTATCAAGTTACGCTGATAAAATCAGGAGCCAAGAACTATATTTTGAGTCAGTGTTGGTCGTAATGTTATTAATACTATCACTCATATATGTACTTACAAGTTTATTTTCAAACTTAAGTAGTTATGTGATAACTGTGCACAATTGTATTGCCAATGGTATTTATTTCAAACGTTGACTCATCAGTATTTAAAAACATGTACGCATTCAATGCGGTGAAGACCAGGCTATCCACGCGCAAGAGGACATAAACTGAATATAGAAATTCCAAATACTTACAAAACTAACTCAGAAAGGCGCCATGATATCACGCTTTATTAAGCACAAGACTAGAAGACTGACCATGTGTTTATCAACAGACAACTTCAGTTAAATATGTGCTGTGTCACCATAACCTGATGGCTACCACTACTGACGACATTAAATAACTCTACAAACAAAATTCCAATGACATGATTTTCATGTAGAAGGCAATACGCTATTGTTTTGTTTTTTATAATTTGTTTTTAAAATGTAGACCATTGTAGATTGAAATAAACCTCTGCGTGATAAAATACATTATCTACATACAGTATATAGAACCACGGACCATTGTTATGAAATATCATCCAAATCTTGTTAATTTTCTTCATCAAACGAAGTGATTTATTTATGTAAGTGCATTAAGTTGTTTTAAAGAATAGGCGCTAGTTGTTTATGAGTATGTTTTAAACATATTCACGTGATTAAATTCTGCACGTGCATACTTTCGTTACAGGTATTTTGATTGTATAGCACTGTTAAAAAACTGAGAGTGTTTGTTTCCATGTCACGTGTTAACATGCAATCTATTCAAGACATGAATATATCTCAATTTCGTGTGTCATTGTAAGTACAAAGTGATTCTGGTTTCCTGGTTAGTTACAAGAATCGGTGTAAATCAAGGCATATTTTGGTAAATAATGATTATTTATTTCTATACGTAAATGTGATAAAGTAATAATCATACATTTGGAAGGATACACCATTCTACATCTAACAAATATTTACGTTATATATAGGATAATCGGTCAGTTGGGTCAAATGGTCAGTCGAGTAGACGGTCAGCTGACGAACATGACGTTTATGATCGAACTGACCTGTTTGTCATCAGAGGTGCCGTTAATGATACTGGTGATGATTTATATACTCAACACAATCACCTATTATCACACGTCACAAGCTGGTCGATCGATTTCTAATTGACCTGTCTCTTAGGACACCGAGGCCACCGTAATTATCTTTATTTAACTGACGTGCAAAAGGGTTATCAAGGTTCGATATACAGTAAACACACATTTAAAAGCGTTTAATGTTTTGTTTTTGTTTAATTTGGAATCTTTTAAAAGAACTTTACAAATTGAAGTAAAAAACTTAACAGGAGTCTTTTTTCCCGAACTGTTTCTGTTATACAAACAATTGACTGTTTATTTCTTTATTTGTGATGTTATCCACGTACATATGTACGTACTGTAAAAAACACTGTCACCGACAAAGATAATGAGTAAACGTACCTGGTAATTACAATGTTTACCAATGAAGCATCGCAGTAAGCGTTATTCGAAAATACGAAAACCCCCGAAAATCCCATATCTTACGTAATTCGAACTCTTTCTGAACCCAAGAAAAGTACAAGTACACGATAAACACAGAAAATGTCACGTGTTAAAAATGTAGCTGTAAATCATTTTCTGTCACACGTGGCTTCAGTCAATCGCTGAGATAAGGAGGGTTTTAACGTGAGACTAATCACCAGACGATACTTTCATGACAATAGTTCGAGGACTGCATCATTATTCTTTTAATCACTCCTGCATATTTTTTGTTCAAGCGATGTTTGAAACGTTTCGGCAGCTTTAACATCTCAAAGCTTTCTAACGATCGTTATGTCCCTCAACACCCTGTTTTGTATTCCCGAGTGGCGACCGGAATAAAACACTGTTTATAAAATGTATACCGTGGACAGAATTTCTTTGAAAGCTATCCACCATGTACACGCACACACGTACATTGCTTAATGGGGCAATCAGTCAAATTGTATGGTCAATGTGGTTTCTATCACAGGAGAGTTCCGTCACCAGCCACTGTGTAATTAGGAGATATCCTATCGCCATTTTATCGTTTTACGTACGTGATTAGGCGGAAGAAACTCCGATTACGTAAAGGAGTCCCATTTAATGGTTTGACATCAAACAAATGTCGGAATGAACAAACAAAATTACTAACATAGTTTGAAATTTTATATTGAATAACTGAAAGAGTATGAATAGGTCCAAGAATGAAATAGCCTCGGAGTAAAATTTTTATGTTATACCGAGATAAAATGTTTTATAGGTCATTGAGAGCTCTTTGAAGATTTGTTACAACGTCGTTATATTTATCATCAAATAGAACCAGTAGCTCATCCGTATCAACTAAACACAAAAGACATGTGCAGAATTTGACACGGGAGGGATGAATCTCGAAAATGTTTAATTTTGCCTGTTTTGAATAAGATTCAACAATATTCTATTGCTGAAGCTAACTTTGCGGATTTTTGCAATAGGATTGATATATTTGAAGCACAGAATGCATATACTATCAATATCGGGAGCTCTTCAAGGTATTATGGGAGGCACAAACTGCCTGCCTATCTTAGCCTTGTGGTTCATTGTAGGGAAGACAGCTAACATTATTTACACAGATGCATGCCCAGTATGTTTATACAGTAGAGTGCATTTTTTGTTATATTTTGTTTTTCCTGTCTGTTTTTGTGCTGAGAAGAAATCCGACTAAAGTGTGGAGACCTGATAAGGGGGCTTAATGAATTTTTCAGAGATTAAAAAATAGCATTACAATGTATTCACAAAGTTCTTGTAAAGTCAAATGCTAGAGAAAAGAGAAAAGTTTTTACTCCGTAAATCGTATAATTCTTCGTGAACTGAAAAAATATATATATATCATGCATAAGTAAATCCTCGCGAAAAAGAAAACACCGCGTAATGTATTAATATTTCAGTATGTACGTATTATACATGTGTACATTTATTGTATATATCGATACACGATGATCAATTTCTCCTGCCGTCTTCAGCGTTCGAACCCCGCTGCTTCGGTGGGTGGCCTCCATTCCTTGACTATTCTATCCATATGCAATCCTAGTTGATGATTGACCCAGCTGTTCAATCATTGAACTCTTCCACAAGTATCATATTCACAGGGACCGCTGCGTCGAATGGGATTTTGTGGTAACAGATCTTTTAATAACCACACGATATCAACCGACCAGATGATATACCAAACTGGATTTACACCAAGTAACCCTGTTTTTGAAAAGTATAAGTTTAACATCGAATTTGAAAAAGTATTCATTTTTATTTTTACAGACTTGAAGTAACAGAGGTTAACGAAATACGCGGTGTCATGAGTCTAGCCTGTCTGGTGTGTCTGCGCAGACGCCTGTATCTACTTCCGCTCATCACGACAATATGGATTATCATGTCACTATTCGTATCGTAAGTCGTTTTAAACATTCATTTCAGTTTTTTGTTATATCGTTTGTCTCCTTTTAAAAGATAAAAAAAGAAACAGAGACGAGAAAGGCAAAACAAAACGAAAAAAGAAGAAAGTTAGAATTATTGACCGCGCTAGTAAACTGCAATGTATAACAGCGAACAGTATTATTTTTTCAGAGACCTGTACATCTCATATTAAGGTATTGCGGTGAGCAAGCTGTTTGTTGTATAGATCGTATAATGCAGATATAACTAAGTTTATATATTATACTAATCATTTTCCAACAATATATTAGAATGCCACCTGTGTTTAAGTGAACATTTCATGTTTATTCTATGCAAACAAGTGAGTGCAAATTTTAACTGAATAAGCGTAGTATTAATTAACTATCATATCTACCATGTGTATATAATGGAAAGTCTGTAATGTATTGAAGACTACAATCAATACAAACCTCATATAGAACAGGATCTCATCGGTACTTTTGTGATCTTTTCTTTTTCTTTTGAAATGTGGCACCTGTTCCGATCTAACATACACTGCACGTGGTGATACTTAATCTTATTTCAAATATGCACCAAAATTAATATTGTAGTGAGTCATTTTACACTTTGGTAAATGGATATTAGTTTAGGCGATTTTTCCTCTAATTCCAAGCATGATTTCCAAATTATAAGATCGCCATCACTCAACAGCTCTAGTAAGACGTAACTGATATAGTGATGCAGTTTGATTGTTTTTTCTATTATATTGCTTATGATACGTGTACGTATATTAAATAATGCTGTTTCATTGGTAATTCAGTAGTATGTAGTGAATGATTTTCACCAGGTTTGTATATTTACATGTAGACGAGGTCAAGGTTGTAGATAATCAATTACATGCATGTACCTGTATATATACATATGTTCTGGAAATAATCTCACGGGGGAGAATACAAATATTTAACAAACGGTTTCATAAAGCCAATACGACAGGACCTCACGGGGGAAATAGCTGGACAAGATAGCGAGTTAAGAGTGGGGGTTTGGGAAGGGGGAATACTGATTCGGTAATTGAAGTGTGTAGCTATGGGAGAGAGAAGTGGGGGTGACATTTCCATCATAAATATATATACATGTACATTCTTTTATTTGTAGATATGGAATAGCTGTAGGTTATGGTCACACCGAGCCAGATTTCCCTTATATCAGGTAATGATTTATACCAAGTTATCATTCTGTCGGATTCTAAAAAAAAAGTCACCAACGAATTAAAAATGTTTAACAATTTGTTAAATATTTCAGATTTCATCGTGTCATGTACACACTTTTAAATCATGATAGGAAAAGTTGTATACAGGATCTAACATACTGCTATAACAAATATATAAAGTGCCATTGTTATTTCTTCATCTAGTCACACAGCAATAGAAGCACCAGAACGTTGTGTCTTTGGTCAACTGGTCAATATAGGAGCAGTCATGCGTGAGTTACCGTTTTATATATTTTTTTCTTATTCATTGTTTGTGTAAAATGAATAAAAACACAAACAAATAGATAACTGCAACTGGAATGTTGACCGGATGTTAACCCGATGGGTGAGGATATTCCAATTAAATTAAATTAATTTAAAGTCCCCCCTCCCCTTCCTTTCTTATTTTACCTTATCTTTTTCAGTATCACAGTATGAAAGCAATTCCGATGCATTCCAACAATTACTTGTAAATCTGCCGTGAAATGTTTCTAGCGGTCCGTTTTCGTTGGTTTAACGTGACATTTCTAGGCTTCCTAACAGAAATTTACAGGATCAGATCTAGAGCAATATGTCAATATTTCTGTAGGACCACGTCTGTATACGTAATAATAATTGATACACGTGATGCTGTGGAGTGTCCCCTTCTCTCTATTGACGTTTTAAGAGGCCGTACAAGTTTCTAATGGACAAACCAGAAAGATATTAGAACAGACACAATTAACAGGCTATATTAGGAATAGAAAGCCACGTAAAGTTGTATATTCAATAAATTTGTTGAAAAAGAGGGTTCCGTAAAATGAAATATCAGTTTGGTCTTCATTTTTTCAAATTAAGGTGAACTATATATGTCTTTACTATTAAGGACAATGTTAATGTAACAGTCTTCACCTACTTAAGGATTGTGTACAAAAGGAATCTCGTAAAGAAAAAGACACGACCTTTTTGACATTTCAGTATATGTTGTGATAGTTGCCTGGGTATCACAAGTAAGCCATATCTAATATCGAGAATGCTATATATAGACGTTTTGTCAGGTTGTCAGTTGTCAAATTATCTGATCTGTAAGTGGTCCGATGAAGAAAAATTACACTGGAATGTGGTCAATCTATAATCTATCAACTCCATTTTGTATGTATATAGATGTGTCCTATGAAAAGGAAACGAAAACAAGATTTTTTCGTTTAAAGTGTCGTCGTTACCTATTGCTATTTTAAACAGGAATCGGTTCTACAGATTAACTTAACTTTTTTTCTTTTGATAATTGTACTTGTGTTTGATGGCTTTTATTAGTTGAAATAACTCTTGCTTAAACTTTACCAGCAAAAGCAAATTTGTCGAAACCAAACTCGTTCGTGAATAGATATTTTCGGAGAATGTATGAGATTTTTGACGAGTTAGACACTGAGAGGGAGTTCTGATTTACAGAAGTGCTGTAGATAACCCCCCCCCCCCCCCCCCCCCCCCTTGATTTTGTAGTCCTGAATGTGTTAAATATTCCAATTCAGTCCCTCGCCAGGAATCCTAAGTACTAGCACAGTGTATTTAATACCCTGTCGTCTGCTTGAAACACGATCAGGTTGCCTAAGATCCATTGTAATTAGTTGTCGAAACTCTATATACTCAATTCGCGCTTATTTTTGGAGTATAACACTGATGATATCAAGGGTTATCTGCAAAGTTGAAAAAAGGAACATTAGATTTAAATTTATTTTCAAAAACAGCAAAATGCTATTCGCAGCTTTTAATGAATTCTTTCGTAGATTTATACTCTTCGAGGTTTCCCGAGGTCTGTAAGAAACTCAAGGTTACAACGTAACTAGATAATTAATTCGGATGAGCAGACGTGAAGTATGTATGTTCAGAAACCGTATCTCAGGGTCACAGGCTAATGTCAGATCGTTTTTCTGTAATACTCGAAATTAGATTATCGAAGATTGTCGAGATCAAGGAAGTAAAGAGTACCCAATATATACTTAATATGGCTACAATGAATATCGTTCTAAAGATTGATATTAAATATGTATTTATTTCTTACACCTATTGATATGGATGGCCACCTAAATCGTGTTTATTAATAACGAAACACAGTAAAATTGAAACAAACATGTTAAGACAAATGGTCTGTTCTTGCCTACATAATCATATATGACTTTGTTTTTACAATCAATTTTGATTTACCCAATATCACTGCACAGGAATGTATATCGTATGTTTATTATTTATTTTGTAATACTTCACTTAAGTGTAATTAAATATGGTTAATTTCACTTAATTGAAATGTTGAGTTTCGTATTTTATAGAACTTGTATAGATGCTTCTGATAACTGACAAGAAATACACAGTTAACGAAGATGACATCAGAATCTGATAAATTCTCATGAACTTGATTCTGAATATAACAATTAAGATTCAATCATTATTTATTGCAGTCGTGATGAACGTGCTTGTTAGATATCTATTCCTGAAGGAAATATTCAAGCACAAGAAAATGCAAAATGTGCAGCAGTGGCAGAATGGCAACATTGCTGGTGTAGTAATCGGGGTCTTATCAGCGCTTGGAATGAGTATGGTTGCAAACTTCCAGGTAACGCAGATTTTGTATATTTAGTATATAATCATTTAACTTACTTTGAACAAGTGTTAAGACCGATATGAAATGTATTATATGAGGAAATAATCATTTTTAAATTAAAGAATATGTTATCTTTGACACATCTAGATCTTATGTGGAACACATATATCCGTAAAGTATTTCCAAAACCACAAGTCGATTACCAATTGAAGTGTTCTGTTTGATTTATGCCAGAACTACTTATAAACATGGTTGGGATTTTGAAAATGATGGTCGCTTTTTAAGTATTGCTATTATCAAGTTTACATAAATGATGAAAGTTCTGCAAACTCAATGAGAACCATTTCATTAAGATCCGATTACCATTTTAAACACTGAATAATTAATAATGACAAAATGTTCATTACCTGTAAAAAAAAACACAAAATTTGATGATGCTTTTTAGTTCAACGATTCCAGACATGTTGAAATTGATGAGTCAGATGGATCAATTATTTCAAATGCTGGTAGGCTGCAGGAAACAGAGATGATAAATTGAATTTTATTGTTGTCTCGTGTTCTTTTACGTTGATAAAATTTCCATTAAAATGGTACAAATTCACCATGCCTCAAGGGAATTTGTAGTCAAGTGTGCTGCCAAGTAAGGCTGTTTGCTAACATCGAAGTAATTTTTGCATGTATTTTTTTAAATCAGAAAATTGTTATCTCCCTAATTTCTCAGTAAGAATGAAGAATTCAGATTTATCATCCATCAGCCTAAGAGATCCTTTACTCATTATTGTTTGCTTTATAAGAAGCTGTCTTTTGAAAGGAGATTTTTAACGAAATTAAGATGCGATTAACATATAGCATCGACACAGTTTATACAATGTATCACGTAAGCACAACCTTTATATATCGTTAAATTTTGATATCTAAAATGTTTTGTGCAATTGATCATTTCTTGTTTGTGGAGGGTATCGTCTGACAACTACTTTAATTGCATGTTTTAAGTAACAATTTGATTTAAATGGCAAATTGTTTTTTTACTGTACTTGAAGCTGTATTTAGTTGCTGGTTTTTCTGCTTTGTAATTATTGCTCTCATTTTTTTTCACACTTATTATCGTTCTTATTTCTTTTCTACATAGACGGAAGTACAGAGGGGTCCACACTACGCAGGCGCAGGTCTAGCCTTCGTCATGGGTACATCCTACACGTGGCTGCAGACGCACATCACGTGGCGTTTACGTCGAGAAGGTCTTGGGAACAAGTTTTTGGCCGCAGTGCGATTCGTCAACTGCTTTTTACTCACGTGCTTCCTAATAATTTGTATCCTTTATGAAGATTCACATATGAAAAATGACATTTTTCTGACGTTATAACCGATAACTTCCGGTGTGGTTTAGATAACATATCGTAGGGATATCTACATCGCCTAAAATGTTACTCTGCACGTGCCTTATGTTTGTTATAGTCGATCCTTTGTGATTAACATGTCTAGTGGTATACAAAGTTCCATTGTCATTCGACACCTGGAAGTTCCCTACAACATCTTGTATATACTTCAACTAATATCGAGTATTGGATAAGAAAATCTAATATTAATCTATTATGCCATCACGTACGACATCTCTTTGTTTTTCATGTATAATATCAGTATGAAACAAATAAAAATGGAAGTTAAGTATCTTCTGATTAGTATTGGACTAGAATGTCTAAGATTGGTAGTTCCTCTCACGTGTGACGCCCCAGTGTTTCTAGTAGTCTAGTATGGGACTAGAATATTTAAGCAGCTCTATTTACGTGTGACGCCCCAGTGTTTCTAGTAGTCTAGTATGGGACTAGAATATTTAAGCAGCTCTATTTACGTGTGACGCCCCAGTGTTTCTAGTAGTCTAGTATGGGACGAGAATATTTAAGCAGCTCTATTTACGTGTGACGCCCCAGTGTTTCTAGTAGTCTAGTATGGGACGAGAATATTTAAGCAGCTCTATTTACGAATGACGCCCTGGTGTTTCTAGTAGTCTAGTATGGGACGAGAATATTTAAGTAGCTCTATTTACGTGTGACGCCCTAGTGTTTCTAGAAGTCTAGTATGGGACGAGAATATATAAGTAGCTCTATTTACGTGTGACGCCCCAGTGTTTCTAGTAGTCTAGTATTGGACGAGAATATTTAAGTAGCTCTATTTACGTGTGACGCCCTAGTGTTTCTAGAAGTCTAGTATGGGACGAGGATATATAAGTAGCTCTATTTACGTGTGACGCCCCAGTGTTTCTAGTAGTCTAGTATGGGACGAGAATATTTAAGTAGTCCTATTTACGTGTGACGCCCCAGTGTTTCTAGTAGTCTAGTATGGGACGAGAATATTTAAGTAGCTCTATTTACGTGTGACGCCCCAGTGTTTCTAGTAGTCTAGTATGGGACGAGGATATTTAAGTAGTCCTATTTACGTGTGACGCCCAAGTGTTTCTAGTAGTCTAGTATGGGACGAGAATATTTAAGTAGCTCTATTTACGTGTGACACCCCAGTGTTTCTAGTAGTCTAGTATGGGACGAGAATATTTAAGTAGTTCTATTTACGTGTTTCTACTATTAAAATATTGGACGAGAATTCCTATCAGTCAATTACTGAACTTCGAAATCTAGCACTACATCTCATAGTTTTTACTGGAAATTTCTTGTAGTTTGTCATTAAGTTATTGTAATGTTTAACTGCTGTAATCAAACATCGAACTCAGATTATGTACAACGTATTCTGTGTAGCACATTCAGATATTTAAATGTGTTGCCATATAGAACCTAGTCCTCGACCCTACTGCCTTTGTACTATAGTTGAGTATAGATATTTGTGTGTATTTTTGAGAGCAATTAGTGGAAATACATATTCAGTGACATGTTAAGTAGATTGTTAATCACAAGACGGAGTAGATACTGACTGACAATGATGATAAAGCATCTCAGTAGCAAACATTACAGAAAATGTTAATTTAGTGTAAACACTTTGAACGTGATCAGAAATCTTCAGCGTGGATATTTTAATATCTTTTATCACACTTGAAATTTTATCAAATTATACATTTAGTTTCTTTAACATTTCACAGTCACTATATCGAAAACCTATTACAAAATAAAGGAGTACCGTGGCGAGGGTACAAAATACGTAAGTGTTTTTACCTGCATGTAATATCAAATATACAGTGTATGAATTTTATGGAAGTTATGTCAGCGTTGAAACATAGTTTATTAAAAGTTATCTCCCTTGGTATAAAGAAATAGACGCCGGCATGTGATTGACATAATGCATTGAATCTTATCTGTCCAATATATCTCATAATGGAAGAAAATGTCTGAAAAGGAAGTGCTGATTGAATCAGCATGGTAATACATAATAAGGTGAGGTATTAGATAATAAAACTACATGTTAATTCCTTTGCTGTACAAAGGCTAGTCATGATCAGGCTCTTCAACACACTTTACTATCTCTTATTTTTCCCCTTTCTCTCAGTTTTATAACTTGATTTACTTTCTCTGGCCTCCGTGACACGTTTGCAGTATGCGCAGTTTCTATCGTGAGCACTCTCGTGCTGTTTTATCATTGAAGGACCGATACGGGTCTCTCTAGAACGCGATGTCTTTTGACGTGTAATACCAGGAAGATAACAAGCTTCAATACTTAGACGTTGTAATTTACTCTCAAGGGTCGGTTAAGGAAGATTTCTGTTTTATCCGTGTTTTAGATTATGTCATGCAAACATAACTGAAACACGTAACTGGTGTCAGATCACATTGAGTAACACACGTACACTCGTACTTTAACCATTGATACCTTTTCAGAAAATGAGGCATTTTACACTCTGAACCTATACATTGGATTTCACTTTTAAGACATCAACCCTTATTATCCCCAGCTAAACTAAATTATACACTCTTTACCTTAATCCTGTGGCCAAAAATTCGATTAACGACAAATTCCACGCATATTTGATGTGGCTGCCGTTTCTTGATAGACTGATTTCTTTAATCACTCTATGATAAATCTTTCTGCATATTATCTTGTGAAGGAATAATCAGATTTTTGGAAGCTTGCTTTGTAGGCTTGTTACCTTAATTCCTTGTTCAAGTTTGGTTATCGGCAAATTCTGCGCATATTTACATGTAATTAGGCTGCTGTGACCTGAATGGCTGTTATCTTATTCAATTTTCCATGTTGCTCACTTTAAATGTATACATTTTACAAATGAACATGGGCGGGGGAGGGGGTGTCTTGATGACCATGTCCTTGTTTATACTTATATGCACATGTTTGTCTCTTGTAAAATGTTAAAGATTGCAGGTGGTAGACACTGTTTGTGGTCTTCAAGTCCCGAAGTTTGTAGTAACCTGTATGCCACGTTTTGATTTCTTCAAACAAAGACACAGTTCATAATATACACACGTATTTGACGTTCTTCTAAACTTATCAGATATAAGTCTTGATTTTGACATTTGTATAACCGTTGTATTTAACAATGCTATCCTTTTGTTTTAAATATATCGATCACTAATGTCATGTAGTACTTTTCACACCCAATATTTCCCTGTAAACGGAAGTTAGCGTTCATCATGTGGATTAAAGTCAATCACTCATACGTCCGGTATACAGTCAATAATTTCTTGTGAGGAAACAGGATCTTCCTTACTCTCCATGGCTGTAGTGTTTCTTCAATATATCGCTATTACGTCCGGGATTAACTATCATCGTTCATAGCAAAACAAAACAACAGGGATCGTATCTAAAGTACACGTGCGGGTTACTAACCATGTACATGCCGTTTCGCTTTTTATTAGATAATTAACAAATAAATAACTTTCTCCATTAAAATTGAAATAGCATCGCAACAATATATATAATATTAATTATTTCATACCACTTTGATGTCATTGCTAATTTGATACTGATGAAAAACAATTCGTCGCGTTGTTTAGTGTCTAAATTATCTATGCTCCGTCTTTATTTTTCACCGTTCCTATATCGATACGCGGCCAGTCTTTATAGTTATAAGAGAGTGTCATTGTATATATGATATGTCCTTTATAATTTTCTATATTGTGTTGTACCGTCAATGACATGCCTGACAGTGTGTTTTGGGATACATACAACATTTTTAAGTTTACATATACATGTATCTGTACATTAACCTAGTTTTATATGTCCTACAGGATACGCTAAGAGGGGTCTATCTCACCTCTACCATTTCCGAGTGGCTAGTCGCTGGCTCCATTCTGGCTTATACACTCTCCTTCACATGGGACTTCCGGTCAATCGTCCTTGAAAGTCCGAAGGTGAAGTTAAATTTCCAACAATTAGAAAATGTAAGTAGAAAAGTTAAATATTTGAAGTTTCATTATTAAATATTACATATTAAGTTGTGGTTATTTGTTGCGTGCTATGAACTAATGATAACATTTCAAATTATGAGAGTGTGTATTGAGTTTTATTTAAAATCATTAGTTTAGAAGGAAGAATGGCTGTCAGGGTGTAAGGTAATTTGAACTTGCATTAAAAGAAAGAAATATTCTGACTTATAGAAATAAAAATAAGCGATGCAATACATTTTAAAGATGTCATAAATATCGATATGTTGATGTTAGTAGACATGGAATTGTTATAATTGCTATATGATTCCCTTATCAGGGTAATAATAATAACAGAGCCTCGGCGGAAATGGAATCGAGACAAAGGGGAACAACTCCAGTGTGATGCGGACGCTCACGGGTCGAGACCGGAAATCCGTTCACGAGTCTTTCAGATAGTATCCAGGACAAAGACAGCTGTCCGGCTTGGCTTGCCTCACCAAGGGCAGCTTTCAGCGATACAAGTGCCAACGACATATATTTAACATTCAAACTCCGTTGTAAAAACGGGAATGGTTTCTCCTGTACTAAAGGAAGCAGAAATATGCATTCGATATTGAATCGGAAAGTGCTGCTATAGTGTGCATCAATGATAGACAAACATTAAAAGGAAACCTATGAAAGTGATATATATTTCACAAATTTATAAATTGACTATTAATTAGGTATTCACGACAAGTTTACCTTCTGCCGTAAACAATTCTTCAAACTTAAAAGTGTATACAGGTGTTTTTTTACAATCAGCTCCAAGTTTTACCTTGAGTTCAAATAGATATTGTCAAGGAGTTTTGGACACATCTCTAGTACAATCCTGAGCGCGTGCAAATTTAGCGACCGTGTCAGTAAATATGATGGGAACAAGTACACATACAATGAGTTACGGGTTGGCTACAATTTATTTTCATGGCAGTGGTCTGATCAGTGTGCCATGTGGATGTGTTTTTACAAACACCGTCTAATGTAATGCATTGACTATGTGTTTAATGTCGTGGGTTTCGTGGTTAAATTATTAAATGTACCAGTGTGTACAATATCGATATTTTCAGATGTCTAATTAATCAAGCATGAGCATTCTGAAAATATGTACAAACTAAACTACATACGTCTAAAGTTTGGAAAATTATAGCACATCTTTGTTTTGAGTACTGTAAAATCATATATTTTCTTGGGGCTTAAAATTTTCATGGTTAAAAAATCTCGGATACTTGATTTCGTGGATGAATACAACTGAATTGATCTATTTTCATATGTCATACTCATTTCATAAGTTCGTGGACAAGGAGTATTCATGACATCAAGGAAAATAAATTCCCAACGAAAATTAATGATCCTACAGTGTTTGATCATAAAGGAAAAAACGTCACCCTCCTGGTAGACAAATGATGGGAGAATCGATGGCGGTATCAAAGGAAACAGATTAATGAAATAACACTCTCCTGTAACAAAATATGTTTATATTCATTTACCTTTTCAATCATCGATGTTTACTGTGTGTGAGAATGCTGTTTGAGTAAAAGGTCAAGAACGAGAGAGAAAACGGAGGACTGAAACATTTTGTCAATTTTATCATTTGCGAGTCCGAATAGATTCGATTTTCATTTTAATTTTTGTATATTAATATAATTATACTTTAAGTTGACAGTAAAGAGAGAAAGACTGAGAGAGGAAAATGATTTCATTAGTGTTTAGTTTAAATATAACTTGGAGAAAGGATAATATATTTGTTTATTTATTTTTGTCTTTTTTACTTCTATATGTATCATGATTATTGTCTCATATGAATCTAACGAACCAGCCTAAGGTTGTGAACGTTTTAAATGATAAAAGTCTAGTCATTGGATAATGACCTTTTATGGTTTATTGTACATGTATTTGATGGTAGATTCTAAGACGTAAAATTCAACAAGTTTTGGCTGTGCTTTTAGTAAAACAACGTAAATAATCGTTGAAAATAACGTTAATTTATCTTTAGGAAAATTAAAAGGAAAATCGCCGAATAAGCTTTAACGACCTTTGCTTTGAGCAAAAATAAGAAACCTAAAGTAAAAAAAAATCTTGTACAAATTCTGGCTTGGAACTTTGGTTTCTTAATTGTACGAACATAATAACGTTCGTTCTCTAACGGACGGACAATTAGGAATACCACATGATCGTCTTTTAAGTACAGTCAATTTGTCAACGTACATTGAACATGTACACGTAGGTATAAGTCAAGGAGAAAGGTTATGTTGTGTTTACAGTCTTAAAAGATACATCTTAAATTGTATGAATTGTGAATATGTTTCTGATGTTATTAGCAATCAATAACACGAAGAAACATTTTCAGTCCTGTCATTTTGATATTACATGTTCAAGGAAAGATTATTTCATTTTTCATGTGGTATATAGAAAATTATTGTTCGAACTCTGGATTAGGGTTTGGAATATATGATAAATTTCTGATCTGGTGACGTTAAAGAATTCATTTTAATATTTGAGGCCTGTGGGTGTCCTTGTTATTTAAATATTGATATATATGTAATACTGCGAGAACATTTAATATATACTATAGGGTGAAGATACGCGAGTGGTGAAGGGCAGACAATTAAAAAAAAGAAAGCCCATTTTTACAAACAAATAAAACAATGAAGCTGGAGAAAAAGACAGAAGACTCACGGTTCTACACCTCTAACAAAAGCCACACCATTCAATCGCGGAGAACTTTTATAATTTCTGTTTTTGTTACAAGTATAGATAATAGGTGATAATTTTAACCAAGGTCAAACGCATCTTTATAAAGACATACTACGCAACCTTAAAAACCGTGTTTCCATGTATATATAAAGAACATATGAGATGAAGCAAATGGGATAATGAGTTGATTTACTGCACGATATTTTTCCACTTATCAAACCCACTTATCTGTTATATTTTTAATAGATCTCATTTGGACTGTAGACACAAGTCTTCTGCAGTTGGGTGATTTGCTGTTACGAGAACTACAAAAAACTTCCTTATCGAATATTTATCGTACACGTAATTTTCATTTATAAATGTTGTAGTTTGAACTAAACAGAAATTTATGACAAATTCCTATGGATAATTGTACAATTTAGCTTGTAAACAGAACGCTGATATACGTAATACACATAGAAACAAAACGGTGCTGGACAAGGAATGCAATTAACATTTTATTGTAATTTTATTTTGGGAAATGTTTATTTAGAAATAAGATATAGCTCATTTTGACGTTGTGAAGGTATTTAATATTTTGTAATTATTGTTGTAATGTATGATTAGTGTGTTTGTATGGTGTTGTAAAGCGTGCGTGTGTTTCGACATATTTAAGCATCCGTTTCCCTGGGGGTGTGTAGCCTTATTCATTATCAGAAAATGTTGTAACTATAACTAAATATGTTGTGACACACTCACAGTAAATTAATAAAATACGTTTTTTAGCGTAAAACACTGCGTTTGTTATATTGAAACATGTATGATTTTTAATATCACAGCTAAGTATAACAGGGCGTATTGATAATTCCTTAGATCAAAGTTGTACCTGTTGTAACCATACCACTTTTTGCGTCCTAAGCATGATGTGACAATACGTTTTTGACAATGGTGTAGCGCCTCTGTCAAAGCTAAAATGGTTATGCCCAAAACAAATAAAAATGTACCAAAATAGTGGTATATTGCATCATTGCTTGACATTTGGCTTGAAATGAATGGCAAGAACTGGATGTTTTGCTGCCAGTATGTCAGGTGTCAGTTAACAAATTTTCCCGATCTGTGAATGTTCTTAGTTTTAGACTATGAAAGTTATGACGTCACACATTTGTTACGTGACACAAATTACAGTGTTACAGAACTAAAAATTTTGCCCACATCTCAACATTTACAATTTCATGTATAGACCTGATAAAAAAAATTAAAGCCAACCTATGATAATTTGATAAAGTATGCTCCCTCATTTCTCATTCTAGCCCTCTAGAAAACGGAACAAAATGTGACTGCACATACATTTGTATTCCATAGCTCCGTACAGGAACATTAAATAGGACAAGCTTGGCATAGTTCTCGTTGAAAATGTTCACCATACTTGCTTCAGTGTGTTAGAACAGTGAATGCCCAAAAGGTGAAACTCCAACCCATCTTATTATTTTTTAATGTTAATCCCTGTGAAGGGATGCACGGGCAAAGTAGTTATGTCTTTCGCTGTATAGCTTCATGCTAATGTATAATGTATATAAGTAGTGCGAATGATAGGACAAGGCTTTAAACTCATACTACAGTCGTGTTTACTTTAAGGTTTTTGATACAACAAAACGTCAGAAACATTAAAACAGACACTTTGGCCGTTACATCAATACAAAAATACTGATGACCATTATCTTCAATAATTTTATATCAATCGAACTTGATGTATATTAAATCGTCCATTATTTTCAAGTTTTTGACTTAGACAAACCATATCCATCATTTCCATGCAAGTCTTTCCGCACCGTGAATAATATGAACATGTTCTAGATTTCAAGAGTTATTGTTAAAACCGAGGATAAATGTTCTTTCAGATGTTCTTTTCTCATTTAGAGAAACAGTGTAGTTGATAATGTAAATTCATCTGGTGTGTAAGCTGATATTTGTACTCAAACTACAGAAAACATTATTTAGTTAGCCGATAAACTATTTTAACAGAAAGCGTATTTGTCTCCATTTTCTGCCCTTGATAAAGAAAAGGTCATATCAGAGTCGAATCTATTTCTCAAAGTAGAGGATAAGAGGATGAAACAAGGATGAAACAAAACATGAACTGTATGGCGGGCTTCTTTATATACACCCATTATCAATTGTTTTGACTAGAAAAACCAGAAACATGTTACATGAAGTTGCCCTTCCTGTTGTCCTCAAATATCGTTACATGATCAAACAAATGTTACTTCACACTTCATTTATTTATTTTGTACCTTCCCCTAGGTTAGAAGTCGTTTCAGAAATTGATTTGATACTGATGCTTTGCGTCTTCATATTGAAATAAAAAGTACATATGGATAAAGGAAGACACAATAGAAATGCTATGTATGTTAATCAAAGGGTGTTGTTATTTTTAAATTGAAGAAAATTGTCCTATAATTGACCAGGACTTTTTCAGTGACCAACAAATGGTTTGTTCAAACTGAAAACCTATACATCGTATGATGAGACATTATTGACAAAAACAATATACATTGAAACACAAGAAAGCCTGCGAGCTTGTTGGAATTTAGTGATTGCAGCTCTGTGAACAGTATCTTTTGCATGCAATGTTAACTCCCATGCATAATGGATGTAAACATTTAACAAATACCTATCATTATATTTACATATATGGTTTCTCTAAATATAACGCTATGATCTATCTTCCTGTATCATATAATGAATCGGTTTACTAACCTATTTCTAACATATTATATAATATTCCGTAGTTTTACAAAGTATAAGGCTTTCCAGATTTAAAGTATTCTACTTGTCACACCAACGCAAAATGAACATTATCATATGACCTAAAGAAATTATTGTTCAGGGAAAAGGTTTTGTCGTCCTACCAGTTAAATGGTACGATAAGAGAGTGTACTTCCGTTTTGTCATATCTGATCCACCAATGATAGATTTGTTTATTTCATGACGAAATACATCATAGTTTAACAAGTGTATGATAAATACAATGACACAGAAATAAATCAAAAACGACCAGGAGAAAATATACGTATGAAAAACTAAGGGGACGAATCTGCAAAGAAAGAAAAAAATCAAAGGCTACGCAAAACAGAATGGAAAATAAGTATATGCTGCGGATAGGTATTGGATTCCTGAGCTGTCATAGATTAATGGAAATAGGCCCTAATGTTGATATCAACAACGATTGTCTGCTTATTTCATCTTTGTAAGGATTGATAATTTGGTATTTAATTGTCATTTTAAAATTCGTAGTATCAACACGTTGCTATGATATCACAGCAGTTGTACTTTCATTACCTACGTAAACTAACCACAATTACAAAATTTATCTGACTACTAACCCCTAAACTTTGGAAAGAACATCTCAACTGCACTTGGCTGATTGTTTATCCATCTTTTGTTTAACGAGGTATATCCAGGAGATCAACGTTTTCAGTCATCGTTGTGAATTCAAGATTATACAAGGGTCAGTATAAATTGACAAAAGAGCCAAATATTGGATTAGTTGTCAAATCTAAATTCACTATTCACCACATCAGCTTCCCAAAAAATGGGTATGGGAGGGAGCCACCATGGGGTAGTTATGGGGTTTCAATATTGAATATTAGTTTTTCTCAGTATGACCAAAGTATTCAAATCATCTCTTATAACCTTACTATTCAGGTCGATGATCCATTGAGACCACATTCATTCGCAAGATCAGTATTGTCCATCTTGAAGCCACATGACCAAGTCATCTGATACAGAATACTTGGAAAACCAAGTGTGAATGTCACGTGACATTGATTTGTGACATAAAAGTCAAACAATTCATACTAATCACATACATCATTTAGGAAGAGGAGCCTGTTATGATTGTCCAAAATCGTCAACAGCGTTTGTAAGTGATTTATATACTGTCCTTATGTAGTACTTCAACGTTAAAGCATAACATACTCAGACTAAACATACACATACTCAAATATATACCATTTTAATCATGACATATAAAAATTACTGATTTTATTGGGAAGAAAGCGTGCAAATATGAGATACATTAAAAGTTTCATTTTTTTAAAATGCATCTTAATTTTAACTGAAACGAATTATAAATATTTATATATCACGTGCTGTTTTGAGATAGAATTATTTCAAACAGCTTCCTATGTCAATCTCATAGCATGCCAATTATATCGTACTATTATCAATGACGTCATAAACCATTCTTAGAAACAACATTTCAATGAGAATTTATTAAGTACAATGTATTTCTATCTTTTTTATGCAAATGTTGATACTTGATGTAAACATAGTCGGAATAATTCATTTAACATACAATTGACCCGATTCATATGTAGAATATGTATTACAATGTCTGACAGTAGTGTGTATTAGGAATTAAAACATCCTTATTAGGTGTATGCGTACGATAAAACTCTCAAGTTCCTATTACAATGCATTTTATGGTTGAATCGTACAGCGATTTACGTGTAGTGTTTATTGATTCATGCTCGTGATGACGATAGGAAGTGAGGTCAAGCAGGACTGGTTTAGTAAGGTTAGCTGTATCCCTTTCACGTTTACATACCCTCATACCAGACATTCACTCACTCACTTTTGATGAATAGGAACTCCACACACATATTTACGATTACCCAGGACTTCGCTATGGATGCGTTTCATTACACAAGGTAAGTTAGTCTCGTTTGTCCGTGTTAGTTTAGATATCGCTTGCATATAAATCTTCTTAAAACATATAGAAATATTAGCTTTCAGCAAACAACAACATATCAAAGTTATCTTCAATACATGTAGGTATTTTGAGGTTTTCTCCTTACATTGTCTGGATAGAGGTTTTTTACGTATTATGATTGATCATTACACATCGAATTCCAATCCTGAATGTGATGTTCATCATACTCTGTTTGATTTGTCAGCACCTAAATTATGTGTTTATATAAGGTATGGAAATATAAAATAATACACACATGGAGAAGGTTACCGCTAAAGTCTTTACGTACTGACAAATCACATAGGCATTAACATTTCTGAATAAGTACATTTATATACAGCAGTGATGATCATTGCTTGTATTGTAAGATATAAATATGTGCAAGAAGTATACATAGATATTTTACGCAGACGAAAAGGGGACTTTTTCAATAGCATTATAGTGACAACTAACATGTCGATTTTGTTAAAAGAATGACATTAGTTGAATAATGATATTTCTTCAATCTGAATACTTAGCTTATGTATGTAATGTAAGATGTATCTTTTTAGAATCAAATTCATAAGGCAATTGAACTCATTGTCAAACACAAAACAAAATCAATATTGAAGAAATCGGGTCACAAAACCAATTACATATATACTCAACACACATTTTCCAAGTTGAAAGATAATTCTTTTAAACAAAGTTAAACAAACGAATTTAAATACGTGAGAGATCCGATGTGTTGTTTACGTAAAAACGAGCCAATATGCAAAAGCCTTTCACACATAATTATCAACCATCATGCAAGATGATCGAGTAGTTTTTAATTATTCATATCCACTCTGAAATAAACAAAAGCACATGTCTTGTTGCTAACCAATTATCGATCATTTAAAAAGCTGAAGAATATTTTACTGTGTATTTATTTCCACGGCAGATGTTCTTACACTCGCAATAAAAATTGTTGTCGCAAATTGATAACAATTGGTTTTATACAAGTATCTTGTG